CAGATTATTATTCTGCAGATTATTATTCTGAAGGTTCTGGTTCAGATTATTATTCTGAAGGTTCTGGTTCAGATTATTATTCTGCAGATTATTATTCTGAAGGTTCTGGTCCTGATTATTATTCTGCAGATTATTATTCTGAAGGTTCTGGTTCAGATTATTATTCTGCAGATTATTATTCTGAAGGTTCTGGTCCAGATTAATATTTTGCAAATTACTATTATACAGATTATTATTCTGAAGGTTCTGGTCCAGATTATTATCCTGCAGATTATTATTCTGAAGGTTCTGGTCCAGATTATTATTCTGCAGATTATTATTCTGAAGGTTCTGGTCCAGATTATTATTCTGCAGATTATTATTCTGAAGGTTCTGGTCCAGATTATTATTCTGAAGGTTCTGGTTCAGATTATTGTTCTGCAGATTATTAATCTTTAGGTTCTGGTTCAGATTATTATTCTGAAGGTTCTGGTCCAGATTAATATTCTGAAGGTTCTGGTTCAGATTATTATTCTGAAGGTTCTGGTCCAGATTATTATTCTGAAGGTTCTGGTTCAAATTATTATTCTGAAGGTTCTGGTTCAGATTATTGTTCTGCAGATTATTAATCTTTAGGTTCTGGTTCGGATCTCCTGCAGGCCTCAGGCTGGATCAGATCTTAAATCTGTGTAATCTGAGTACAGTTGTTCTGGACTCGTGGTTCTGGTCGGACTCGTGGTTCTGGTCGGACCCGGGGAGCAGCAGAAAGTTCTGTACCTGTCTGTAGTGGGTCTCCAGGCCCAACGCAGCAGCTTCAGCCCGGTTCGGTCCACTGGTCCCGGTCCGGAGGCTCGGAGTTGTTTTTATTCGGCGGCAGACGGACCGGATCTGGTCCAGAACCTGATCGGGTCTTTACCTCCCGAACGGGTCCATAAAACTCTTTAATCCGACTTGTTTAGGTTCCGTTTGGGTCGAGTTTCAGGAAAAGTTCCGAACTCTCCAAAGACAGGAGAACAAAAAAAAGTTCTGTTTACATCACATCCCGTTTCCGAGGAGGAGGAGGAGGAGGAGGAAGCAGACCCTTCCTCAGACCCTGCAGAGCCTCCTAACAAGGATCCTACAGAGGAGACTCCTCCTGCTGCTCAGACTGCCGGTTCTGGTTCTGGTTCTGGTTCTGGTTCTACAGACGTTTGGAACATTTCTGCAGAAAAACATCAAAAGCTGTTTGTTTCTGCTCGAGATCAAACAAACAAACAAACAAACAAACAAACAAACAAACAAACAAACAAACAAACAAACAAACAAACAAACAAACAAACAAAC